TCCACAACAAGGACACCTGTAATAGTTTGTCTCCCATACAGAGGTACTTTGAAAATATCTTTGTATACAAAATTGTTCACTCCCAAAACTTAAGTGACAACTGTGAAGATTTGATTCAACACAACTGTACTGATAATTTATCTAAAAGAAGCTATCAGTGCTTTGCAAATACTTTAAAAGCAGTTAGCCTTGTGTTCTATGTATTGGCACCTCTGTTCCCCACCCTCACAAGAGGGTGAAACAGACTTACTTTCTGGACAAACACCTCTCACACCAACATTTTCTTTGTAAGAACTTCAGAAGGTGGAAGAGGGAACTCAGACTTTTCATCACCTGACTTCAAGATCAAGGGATTAATCCACACACTGGCACAGAAACAACTGTAAGTCCCCATCTTTAGAGGCTGAACACCTTCCATAGAGAAGACACAACCTATTGAGTCCGAGGGAGCAGGCTGGGAGTCCGTTCACATGCCTCAGAATATGCACTCAAGGCGAATATAATTACAAGTGCTGTATGGCACCTAAAAGATGTGGGGCTAAGGAGCCCAAGAAACATAGTTCAATGTTAGCCTCCTGCTCTCCTGCCCCTTCTTCTGATGCAGGGTACGAGATGTGCAGATCTTCCCAGTTGATACTGCAGAGATACCCTCCATTAAGTTGCAGCAGGAAAAGAGACATCTTTCCCTCTACTCCAGAAGAAATCTTCTCCCCAAATCTTAAGTTTCAGAGAAGAGTAGGCATGCAGCCATCTCCCAACTCATCTCTCTTCTCTGCAGTCTCTCACCTCCATTAAGTTGCAGCAGGAAAAGAGACATCTTTCCCTCTACTCCAGGACAAGAAATCTTCTCTCCAAATCTTAAGTTTCAGAGAACAGTAGGCATGCAGCCATCTCCCAACTCATCTCTCTTCTCTGCAGTCTCTCTCCACCTCTGTAATCTGCCACCACTCTGTCTCCTCTGTTTTTTCTCATGTATTGGTTCTTGGAGAATTTCATACAATACATTTTGATTATGGTCGCTCCCTTCCTTCAGCTTCTCCCAGATTGTTCCCTGTTTATCTATCCAACCAATAAATGGACAACAAAGCCCCTACAAGACACACAGGCTAATAAATAAAAAGTCCAGGAACAGGAATGGGTTACCTTTTAGGGGGTTGCTGGCCAGTGAGGTTCCACAGGCACCACCCCCCCCCCGTAAACAATACAGGGCATTGTACTTGATAGTAAGAGCCTTTTGTGAAAGACACCACCCACATGACTTATAGAACATGGAGAGATCAAGCTAATGCTGACCCAGAAGCCTCATCTCTACTGAGTAGCATTCATAGTGCAGGAAAGTGCTGTGCACACTATCAGAGTAGAAAAGTAGTCATCAGTCTTCCCCAGCTGTGGACTCTGTGAGTTACAATAGCAACTGGCCAGGCAAGACATGCCCACTGGTACAACAGAAGCATGAATGTCATGGGAGTTAGCAACCACTTTCTGATTGGAGTTAAGACCTACTAAAGACAAGATGAAACTCACATTCATAACTGTCACTGGGTCAGGAATCTGTGATGAGACATCCAGGCCCTAGGGGAGGATCTACGACTGTCACTCTGGTAAATATGCATAGTATTAAACTGACCACTAATTATCACATTGGTCAACCCTTATCGAAGAAGCGATTTTTGCAGTAGATGGTGATTAACACGGAGACCCCATACAGCTGGGCAAAGTGCAGGCACGAGAACCCACAGAATGCGCAGCACTAAGTGGGGCAGCTGCTTCATATCCCTCTCTCTAACTCCTCTTTATATGGCTGCTTTTCAACATTCCATTTGTGTGGTGATCATTTCACGCTGGAAAAAAAAATGGTCAATTTTACTTGTTCCCTGAAGTTTCTTTTAGAACATTTTTCTTTGAAAGACTCCTGAATGGCTGTTTTTTCAACAGCAGTATCAATAGCAGCTCTCATAATATCTCATAAATATCTGTTGAATGAATAAACTAAAAGCCACACACTTACACACAAAACAAAATAAACAAACAAACAAACAACCAGACAATGAGTGTTCCTCTACAATTCCAGGAAATTTTTGCCAGCAAGGACTGGAAATTCCAGTGTGCTCGGGTCACTAGGCTAGAGACGGTAACTGTGTGTAGGTCTGCTTATTCTAACTCCAGTTTTATACTAAAACCAGGAAAGCTGGGAGGTGGGCATGGAAATAATTAAGAGAGAAATAATTATTATTTCTTATAAGATCTTATTCCTGTAACAAAAAAAACTAAAAACAAACAACAAAAATCTTCTGGAAGGCAATGTATCCAAACAATAACTACAGTGAACTAAAAACAAACAACAACAAAAATCTTCTGGAAGGCAATGTATCCAAACAATAACTACAGTGCAGTCACGTAGATGTCAATCTCTAAAGATCCAGAGGCCTTGATTTGGGTATACGCAATAGCATCAGTAACATCAGAACCCATGATATGGATGGGGAAATGGAGGCTTTGCCAAAATGCTCAGTGCCAATGTGCAAGTCATCCAGGAGCTCCATGTTGGCAGCATCGCCTATGTATGAGATCCTGCACAGGGAGTCCAGGATCTCGGGAAGTTACTTCTGCCATTCTGAAGGCATCTCCCTAACTTTCTCAGCTGAGGAGCATCACATGGTCAGAAAACATTTCCTACATACTTCAGGAAAGAACTTAGGATATATAGAGGACAAAGTCAAGAAAGCTCTTGAACATGGCTTTTCAAGAATTCTGGACATCATAAAGAAATGAAATCTGTGTATCTGTGAGGGAGAAGAAGGATCTACAATGAAAACTTAAAACAGAAAAGCCATCCAGGGAAATTATAGCAAAAAACATTCAACTAGGGAAAGGAAGGAACATCTAAACACAAGAAGTATTTTAATCCCTAAATACACATTACCAGGAAAAATCTTGCCACAACAAATTACCATCCAGAGAAATTATAGCAAAAAACATTCAACTAGGGAAAGGAAGGAACATCCAAACACAAGAAGTTTTTTAATCCCTAAATACACATTACCAGGAAAAATCTTGCCACAACAAATTACGGCTGAAATGCCAAGCCCACAAAGAAGCAATACCTAAAGCTGCAGGGAAAGATACCAACTCCCAAAGGCAATCCTGTTATAGATGTCAGACCACTTGGCAGGAAGCCCGAGTCAGGAATGGCATACTTCAAGTCCTGGAAATTAAGAAAGAAAGAAACAAAGAAACAAAAAAAAGAAAGAACAAAAAAAGAAGGAAGGAAGGAAGGAAGGAAGGAAGGAAGGAAGGAAGGAAGGAAGGAAGGAAGGAAGGAAGGAAGGAAGGAAGGAAAAGAAATGAAACTGCCCAAAATAAGCATACCCAGAAAAGTTATCTTCTGAAGTTGAAGAAGGGGACTAGAGAGATGTTTATTTCTCACCTGGTACCACAATCAAAACAAAATGTAACAAAGTGCTTAATACATGACCAGGAACTTTAAACTGAGGCAGAAGAACATAGGCAGAATGCTGCAAGATACCCATGTAGGCAAATGCCTGATGGAGAGGATTCCAATGGATCAGGAAAAAGCAAGAATTGAGAAATGGAATTGCATGAAATTAAAAAAAAAAGACTCCTCCATAGCAAAGGAAACAGTTAACAGAGTGAAGAGACAGCTCAGAGAATGGGAGAGAAATCATTGTTATCTTTATAACTGATATTAATAGCTACTAGAACCTATAAACTCAAAAAGTTAAGAACAAAAACCCTAAATGAGCAACTAAATTCAACAGATGGTCCTCGAGAGATCAAAAAAAGGCCTAAAGAAAATATGTTTAACATCCTTAGCCCTCAGGAAAACACAAATCAGAAATACCTTGAGAGTCCATCTCACCACTGTCAGATTGACCAGCAACAAGAAATGAACCAACAAAACACTAGTGAGGGTACCAAGGAAAGTAATCTTTATATTCTTGGAGTTGGAATTTAAACTAGTGACACCGCTATAGGAATATACATAGAGGAACCTAAAATATAAATAAATGTAGGACAACTATATAACTTAGTGTACCACTCGTGATTATACACCCAAAATAATTTAAGTCAGCAGACACTAGTGAACACTGCACGTTCACTACACTACTGTTCATGATAGCTAAGATATACGACCAGACTAGCCACCCAGTGGATGGATGGATAAAGTCCTGGATGTATACACAATGGAGCCATAAAGAATGAAGCCTTATCATTTGTAAAGAAATGGGTGGAGCTGTGGATAATAATAGACAATGTTGAATAAGAAAAGATAAATATCATATTTCCTCTTGTATGTAAAATCTAGAACCCCCCCCCCACACACACACACACATGCAAGCACACACATGCAAGCACACCTTGAAGGGAGGGCCCCCCCCCCACACACACACATGCAAGCACACACATGCAAGCACACCTTGAAGGGAGGGGGGACTGTGAGGGGGAAGGAAAGAGACTACAGAAGTAGGGGAGAGAGGACTGTGTTCTGAACATGAGGAAAGCACAAGGATAACCATGTGTGAACGGGGCACAATGAGACCCATTTTATACACTAACTAGAACTTTAGTTTTAAAAGATTAGGCAAACCCAAAAGACTGGGGGTGGGGGCGGTTTACATCTATTGCGGAAGCCTGTAGACCTGCCTTTCAGAAAACCAAGCCAGAACTCACCTTCAAAGTCTCTCTTCCACCTCCTTGAGCAAAACACACGATGGGGATCTTACCACCATAGTTGGAATCTGTAAAACAAGAACAAAGTCTGTTTTGGACTCCACCTTGAGAACTGGGTGTGGCAGGAAGTGGGATGCAGCAGGAGATGGGAGGACTGTCTGCTATGAGAGCTCATGGCCTGGGTAATAGCTGCTTGGATTTGACCTTGACCCAGAGCTGATAGATCACAATGAAGGAATCCCTGTGCACCCAGACCCTCCACAGGGTGGCATGGGTAGTACTATCATTCGTCACTGCTTTTTAAAATGCTAATGTCAATGCTTGATTAACATTTGTGGATTTGATTAGACTGGGTTGAAGTTTGCCCTTATTCTCTCCCTCATTTGTATAATCCTACGATTTCTGAAGTGAGTGACAAATTTGCATAATGAGGCATTCTCTCAATGGAGTTTAGTGCATCTATAAATAGCTTCCTAAACTATATCTTTGTTGAAGGGGAAACAATTGAGACTAGGTCCTTCGAGGCAGTCTATCACTAAACCACAGGACAACCTTGCTCCAAAGCAGGACACCTCTCAGCACCCTGTTCACAGGAAAGGAAGACATGTACAGCTTATCAGACAAGGTCTTGCACTCAGTTTCAGCAAAACCAGTGTTTTAGGTGATTCTATTCTGGTAGCTCATAGAAAGAGACAAACTTCAACATTAAACAGCCTTCCAGCTGCAACACTAGTAGGTTGGTTGGATTCTTAACATCTCTACCCTACTGCTGAGTCTCAAACCCAGGTCAAATGGCTGAGCTGCCTATTTAACTTACCAACATATCACTGGCTGCCAGCATCCCTCAGTCCCTGCATGTTACAGGGTATAGCTGGCATACCTTTTTCCTTTCTTTTCATTCCTTTTTCTTTCATCTACCTAACTGCATTGCTTTTTGTTTGTTTGTTTGTTTTTGAGACAGGGTTTCTCTGTGTAGCTTTGGAGCCTATCCTGGCACTCCCTCTGGAGACCAGGCTGGCTCGAACTCACAGAGATGCTCCTGCCTCTGCCTCCCTAGTGCTGGGATTAAAGGTGTGCGCTACCAACGCCTGGCCCTGCATTGCTTCTTAAATACATGTTCTTCCATTAAGGGCTTCACTTGTTCCAAATATCTAAAAGGAAGAAAGCCAGACTTCCTAAATGAATGAACAAAAGTGTAAGAAAGTGTCTGTCACTATCTTCAGCATACCAGAGGACATGCCAGTGACCCTAGCAGAGGGCACTCCTGGGATACTGAAGAAAGAGGAGAAACAAAGACACCGAATCAAGAGGGCTAGCCATGCAGTACCAGCTGTCACCACAATGGTCAATCCAGGCTGGCATCCCAGTTCCTAACAGCTGACCTTGACTGGTCCTCTCAGAGATGTATTTCTCCAGCTGATTCCTCAGTTTGGCTTCCACCGTGGGGTGTCCATGACATCCATTGTCCACAAGCAGCAAGTGGGTGTGATTGTTGTCTAGGATATATAGAGGGTCTCTCTTGAAGTCATCCATGATGTATTGAGCTGAGAAATATCCCTGAAAAGCACAGGGACACCTGTCTTTGAGATGCAGGGTGACATTATAATGACCCTACTGAAGTTAGAGAACTAGTGTTTGTTGTGTGTGTCCTCTTAGGACGGCACTGAAAAGGAACACCAAAGTTTAAGAAGAAAATGATGGTGACAAACAGCCTAGGGTAGACTGAAAACCGAGAATGAGAGAGAACTGTGCCATCTTTTTCATATGTATATAATGCTCTCATGATTCAAAAATAGAATATTGATCAAAGAATTAAAAAAAACAACAGACAATGAAAGCCAAGAAAATTAAAATTCTCTGGAACAGATCTAAAATGCAGTATAGCAAAAGTATTGCAAACATTGTGTTCCACCCATAGCACTGAGTGCTACAATGATCCCTGTGGGCCTGTATCAGAAGATGTAGCCAACAAGATTAGTAAAAACACCATGTTTCAGCCGGGCGTTGGTGGTGCACACCTTTAATCCCAGCACTCAGGAAGCAGAGGCAGGCAGATCTCTGTGAGTTCAAGGACAGCTTGGTCTACAGAGCAAGCTCCAGGACAGGCTCCAAAGCAATACAGGAAAACCCTGTCTCGAAAAACAAAAAACAAAACAACATCAAAAAAAATTATTTTATATAAAAGACCAAACACTGTCACCCAGGAAAATACTAGAGGAACCAGGAAGCCAACCACAATAGCATAAGAGTTTACTGCAAAACCATGCTCTCACTGATGATTTTCATCAGAAATAAAAAAGGAATACAAACTAGCAGTGTAATTTAAGCCTCTAAAAACTATGTTTTCTACAGAAATGAATACTGTAGCATATTAAGTAAAAATGTCAATGATACCTAATTCTAAGAGCCGTGGGTGGGTGGCTGTCATCAAGATCTTACGTGCATTTAGTTAGTCTCTATGCATATATCTGTGTAATTCATAATTTTACACTTAGAAGCATTTCTATGCTGTCAAAATATCTTCAGAAGTAGTATTTTCCTATCTCCATAGTTATTCATTTTTGTATACTAATCTGTCTGGACTTCCTTCTTTAGTAATAACTATTACTATACTGTAATATCTAATAATAAATACCTAGCCACAAGTATTGCTGGATATTTAGATTTATGTCAATTCTTCATTATTACAGAAATATTTTAAAGAACATTTTTACCCTAATATTAAATTATCTAGGGATGAGTAATGTAATTGTTGGAACTTTCCTATAAACAGTTTTTATACTCCTAATACATTTCTAAATATTGTTCTGGGAAGAGCACAGATTTGACACTTAGGTTCCTGTACCCCTTATTAATCTCAAAAATGGTGTCAGAGACAACAAAGTGACACGTTTTTTAAAAACCACAGGCCTTAACATTCACCATCTAAATACCTAGTGAGCCACAGATGGATGAAGATGTGCATTAAATTTAGATTTTTGAACGTCTAGTCCAAATCTTCTGAGTAGGTCTTAGGTAGTTTCCCACTGTTTCCAAAATGTCACACTTGACACATATGACAGTAGATATCATATGTTCACAGTGACTTCTGGACATGATTTAAGGGAGGTCTGCTATTTTCTAAATCAGTTCTCAAGAAACATTTGGTGGTGTGGGTCTCACAGCCTTCTCCGCACTGGGTTAAGGATAGAGAACAAAAATGAATCTGAATTCCCCCAAATCTGGCACAGCAGTGCAGGATTATTCACACAGGTGAACTCTTTTGAGATGGATTTAGATCATAGTTATAAAAACAATGGGCCCAAATCTAAACAAGCTTGCTGGAGACAGATTTTAATGACAAAATGCCTCCACTCTTAGCTCCTGCTTTGGAGTCCCTTAAATATGCCCTCCTCCCCCTTGGTTTTTAAACTTCGGAGGTTCATAGGCTGTTCTCATAAGACAGGCTTTCCCACAGGCTCCATCACAGAGCCCCAGCACTCAGGCCATAGCCATTGTCCTGGTCTTTCTCCCACAGAACCTTGTAGAGGCCCCTGCCCTACCCATACCTCATCATTGCAATTCCTGATGAGGGTGTCCCTGTTGGAGACCATGCCCCATGCCGCTATGCCAATGGCCACGATGTTCTCTTCTGAATTCCGGCTGATGGTGTTATCTCTCACCACTTCACCTATGTACTTCATCAGACCATAATGGGTGCCTCCTGTGAGAATCCAAGCACCTGCAGATGAAGGAGGGGAACCAGAACTTCAACTGAGGCTGAGTAAGGTTTTCGTCTTGTGATCCAGACTCCTAAGGAAACCTTCCTGCCATGAGCTTCAGGATACTGCACTGAGAGCCAGACTATGTGATAGGACTCCAGGACAAATAAGAAGATGATCCCAGGTCATCGAGGGGCTCCTGAGAGGCACACACAAGAAAGCACAGGTTCTGAGCCCCGATCTAGATTTGCATTCTCCACCTCTACAGAGGGTGCACTCATGAGTCTCCAGGGAAATGCTTTCCTGAGCAGTGAATGCCTGGCCTGAGCTGTGAGTGAGCTGGCCAGTGCATCCACAGCCAGCAGTGTGCTCTCTCCAGACCTCCTGCTGGTCAGAACAGAGTAGACCTTCCCAGCCCCAGCAGTTCTGCCTTGCTTTACATGACTTTACATAACATATTCTTATTCAAGGTTTATATCCGCTGATCTTTCTCAATGCCAAGCATTTTTGCAGTTCTAATGCAGAATATAAGAAACAAAAGACCTACAGCTTAGTTTTACTAGCATGTGTCAGGCCATGGGTTCAATCCCCATCACCCAACAACAGGAATATTATTTAGTACGACAGAAATGACTGTAGTGTGACTTGTTACCTGGTCAGTCCCCACTCTAAAGGCAGACCCCACCTTGAAGACACCTCTGTCTTCAGAGCAATTCCTATCTTGAAGACACTCCCCATCTTTAGGGCCGTCCTCACCTTGAACATAGTCTCCATCCTTAGGACAGTCCCCACTTTGAGGACTCTCTATCCTTAGGACAGTCTCTGTTTTCTCTTTATTGGCTCTAACAGTGAGTCTTTGGAGTCCTGAAGCAGCTCTTCTCTCTAATTGTTACGATGTCCTTTCATTTGCTGTCTGTCTCCATTGTCTAATTTCCCTGCCATCTTCAATGAGGAAGAACTAGGTCATCAGTCATCTCCCACATCAAAGACATAATAATACTTAAGTGTGTTGTGGCCTTTAAAAGATTCCTTAAGCCAGTTCTCAGTGTTCCTTCTTAAAACAAGGTAACTGGATATGACCAGTTCTAAGGACTCTGGGGGTATTGCTTTCTTTGCTCTGGCTAAACTAATAGTCTACCTTGTGAGCTAGTTAGAAATGAGCTGTCTTCCAGGCAAGGATATTCTGTTCACGGTGTGTGTGTGTGTGTGTGTGTGTGTGTGTGTGTGTGTATGTATGTATGTGTGTGTACATGTGTGTATGTATATGTATGGGTGTATGTATGTGTGTATACATGTGTATGTGTGTGAATGTTTGTGTGTCTACATATGTGTATATGTGTGTGTCTACATATGTGTGCATATGTATGTACATGCTCTTGAGTATCTCTGCTATAGCACATGTGGAGGTCAGACTACAGCTTTCAATCAGTTCTCTCCCATCCTGTGGGTTCCAGGTATCAGAATTAGATTGTCGGGCTTGACACCTTTATCTTCTGAGCTGTTGTGCTGGTCCCAATGTCTATAACAACCCTGGACATACAATGTCAGTCAATGTGTCTTTGCAAAAGAAGTTTCAAAAATGTGAAGCTCAGGTAAACTGAATCCACTTATGAGAAAACCATCAACCAAACCTAAGTTGAGATACAATTCACAAAGCCATTGATGTGTGCTCATCGGAGTGTGGCGATGGACAAAGGCTGAGAACTAGTGCTGATGTAAGAAAACCAGAAGGATATGAAAAGTTAATGGAATTTGGAACCCAAATGGAGAAAAAGTTTCTTACTCAGAAAGGTCGTTAAAGGGGCACAGTAGACTATTAGTGTCAGTCAGTGTGAACTGTCCCTGTCCTAGGTTGGAAACTGCATTGGAATATGTGTAAGGGGACTTCCCTCTTCTTAGGAGATGAATGCCAGTGAACTTGGGGGCTAAGATCCATGATGTCTGCAGCCTACTTTCAAATCATTTTGTGCCAAACCATAGTACATGAATATTCATAAAATAGAAAACAAACGTAGGAAATACCGGACGTCAGTAAATCAGAAGCATGCACGTATGTTCATCATATTACTCTTGAAACATTTCTGTAACTCTTGAAAGTTTTTAAGATAAAAAAGTAAAAGAGAGAGCATGCTAAGTTTAACATATGAAGTCAAAGCTACCATTATCTGGCTCATACAACTACACAGTGCTCACAACCTATCCTGCAGCCTCTGTTTCCAAAAGGTCATCAATGACCTCTAAGATTCAAGAGAAATTAGCTAAAATGTTGTTTGATTTACTACAATAGTCTGAGGGGGCTGGAAAGATGGCTCAGAGGTTAAGAGCATTGACTACAATATTCTGACTAAAATTTTATGTGTTTAAATAATGAAATAAAGCTACTGGTAGATATTCTTTTTTTAATCAAGGCAGCACCTCAACCCAGACTGAGAGTTACTCTGTAAATCTCTCAGCCAGAGCACCTTCTCTTTCCATCCATCTGAGAGTTTTATTGTAATAAAATGACAACTCATTTCTCTGGGCTGGAGAGATGGCTCAGCCATTATGAATGCATATCTCTCTTTTAGAGGACCATTGTTCAATATGCAGTACCCAAAAGGCAGCTCACAACTATAATGGGAAATTACCAATATGGAGCCAAGTAGAAATATAAGGGTATTTAATAGGGAAAAGCCTTACTTACAGAGCGACCTAGCCAACCGGCGTGGCAGCAGTCTGTACACAAGCCGAAAGGGAAACCAAAACTGAAATTGACCAGCCACTGACCAACTCTCTACGTCACCCTGACCACTCCCTCGTGGTCAGGCAGACCTGTAGCCAGCCCCTAAACAGGCGTGGCTACAGGTTCCCCTACATACAACTACCTGTATCTCCAGCTCCAAAGCCCTCTTCTGGCCTCTGCAAGTACCTGTACTCGGGTGCACATACCCACAGAGACCCCCATAGTTCTGGGAACATCTAGATTCTGTGGGAAAGTGGCATGTGGAAATTCTGTCCTCTGCCCCCAAGATGCAAGGTGGTCTAGGAATAATGACCCCTGTATATTCTCAGTGCCTATGTACCTTTAGACTGTGCAATGTAAATCAGCCGGCTGAAGATCTTGCGCATGCGTGGCTTCAAAGCGAAGTTTTTGGCACCACCAGTCACCGAAATGACCAGGTTGGGTGTTTTGAGGTGCCAGTGTTGCGTCAGCAGTTCGTAGAGGGTTTCGGAGTCCGTGTCGCAGGACAAGCGGATATACTGTGGGGGCAGGATAAAAGCACCAGGTTTGTGTACTCTGCTCCTGGAGTGTTGGGTGGCTGCCTGCTGCTGGGGCATGGGACAGGGTGTGCTAGGCCGGGCTGCTGCCAGGGCCTCACCGGAGAGTAGAAGGAAGATGTAGGGGACAAGTGACCTTGAATGGTTCCACAAGCCAGATGGAGACCCTGAAACCCCACCTGGTCTTTGAGGTATAGGAAGCCCGGGAGACAAGAGATGATGAAAGGGTCCTCAAACTGCTCTCCTGGCACACATGGATCAGCCAAGGAGATGGGCAATCTGTGGGGAGACTCACTGGCCCATCATGAGGCAGAGCCCCAGACAGTGGGAGGAGCTGAGTGTGCTCAGGGACTTACCAAGACAGGGCTTGGAGACTCATGGGGTCAAGGTCCAGACATCCAGCCTATGGCCTAAGTTATCATTGAAATAGAGCTTGGAACACTTGGGGAAGACTAGTGTCTAATAGAAAGACCCTTGTAAAATCATGGATATAAAGAAATGTCACCTTAGTTGGAGCTACAGTATATCCTCAGGAACACTGTCCCAAACTAAAAGGACTACTCACAAAAGTATTTTCTCATCCTCTAACAGTTAGTCTCAGTAGATGTCACTGGGACCCATGACATACCTAGATTACAGTTCCAGTCATGATGCCATCCTTAACTCCTGAGTTTTCTGACTGAGCACAATCTAGTCACTGTCTTTTGTCTTTCACAACTTGTCTTTTCCCACAATTATTGTTGGTAATTGCCCATCCCCCCCACCTCCATGCTAAGGGACAACTCAAGGCAACTAGGGCAGCCCAAGCTCTTCGCCCGTATAGTAGCAGAACACAGGTGCTTACCTTGCCTTTCTTCCCCAGAGTCTCAAACTGAATGTCACCAAAGGCATCTGTTGGAAACTCCTTGGTATGTTTCTTGTAGTTCCACTTCTCATTTTGGTTGATCTGCGTGCCTTCGATGTGCTGGCTCTGGGCATAGCCACACTTGCATATGCTTTCCCTGCGCCGGCCATGTTCGGGGAAGCAACAGGTTTTCATCTACTTAAATGGCTTGTCACATCTTAGGAGAAACTATGTACTATAAACTTCAACCAACACAAGAAAAAACTCTACCACCGTCTCTTTATTCCCAGACTATGTCCCCCATCTCGGCTGGCTGTCTAGAAACTGCTTTGTTGTTTTGTTCTCATTGCTAATTATCTGTTTGTCCTGAACTTGCCCTGTGCTGGTTACAGAGAGGCAGAGTGCAGAGCCCTTCCCTTATAGAGCCCATTAGGTGTGTGAGAAGCCACAAAGCAGGTAAGAGGTAAAACTCAGGAATCTGGGAATCATTTATTCAGCATCTCACTTGGGTCTGAGCCAACTTGCAGGAGCCCAGTAACATGCAGGCATTAGTGTTTTAGTGTCAACCTCTCTGGATACCCAGCAAGTCATGCTATTCTGAGGAGAGGTAAGATCTTCCCAAGAACTATACTCATGGGAGAGACATTGTCCAAAGTTCTCCAGAACTTAGAAACTACCTTTCTCTACCAGATATTAACTGTTTAGATGACTTTGGGCCAGTAATAGTTTGATCCAGACAAGGGAAACGGATACCCAGCAAGTCATGCTATTCTGAGGAGAGGTAAGCTCTTCCCAAGAACTATACTCATGGGAGAGACATTGTCTCCTGACAGGGGCCCAAAGTTCTCCAGAACTTAGAAACCACCTTTCTCTACCAGATATTGACTGTTTAGATGACTTTGGGCCAGTAATAGTTTGATCCAGACAAGGGAAACTGCCGTAGTGAGCATTAGCTCTTCCCATTGAGAGCATAACAGAATTCAATATTAACTGTCCACTAAATGACACACATGCATGACGGGAAGTTGAAAGGGGATAAGGAGACACACACTAAATGGTACAGCCTTTCCTTTCCTTCTGCAATACTCTGTAGTCATTCACCAAGTGTCTGAGAACATGGCTTATGATAAAATAACATCTGCAGCCTCCCAAGCTGAGGCCAATGTGATTTCCTGCCTCAAGTTGCCCGGCATCTCTTAGAGTAGCTAAGTACAAATCTGGCAAAGAGCATAGAGGAACCAGCCAAACACCTCCTTTTGTCTTGGCACAGTCCCTCTCCTGCCCTGCTTGCTATGATGTGAGGCATCCAGTGGCCTGGTGCACAGTGCAAGCTCTGACAAAAGACCTTAAGCTCAGGGTGGTGCGTGCATGCAAGCCAAGGAACAATGAAGGACTAACAACCAAAAAGAAGTAAAGGTGTAGTAAAAAAAAAAAAATCTACAAACAAAGTCCATGTTTGACCAGTACAACAGTCCAGAAGGACAGAACGAGGGAACAATGGAGCTAGACAATGTCATCCACCATCATCATGGATGACCAAAAGTCCAATGTCCTATTTTATAACCATTGCCCAAAGCTAAAAGGATCAATGTCTCTCACTGTTACCAGTGTCTCCATCCTCACAATAAAGTGTATACTGTAGTAAAAAAAATATCTGCAAACACAGTCAATGTTTGACCAGTACAACAGTCCAGAAGGACAGAACGAGGGAACAATGGAGCTAGACAATGTCATCCACCATCATCATGGATGACCAAAAGTCCAATGTCCTATTTTATAACCATTGCCCAAAGCTAAAAGGATCAATGTCTCTCACTGTTACCAGTGTCTCCATCCTCACAATAAAGTGTATAACCAAAGATGTGGACCTACTCCAGAGTATGGGGACAGTGTAAAAGATCCACCCATTTCTAGCATCCTTGTACCCTACACACTCAGTCGACTGTACAAGGTGAGCCTGGAGCAAAGATTCTGACAACAGGCTGAGCCAGATAAAGATTATGCCAATTGAGAAATCTTGTTTAGGTTGTTTCTGGCTGGATTCTATACTTTATATTCTCTATCCAAAAGTATAATGGCATCTAGAAAACGCTGTGTGAATGGATGAGAAAATATGAATGAGATCAGTCTTCTTATAAATAATTTATATCTGCAACCATTCTCAATGATATGCATAAAGTAGATAGTTTGGTTTTCTTCCAAGAAAGATGCATTCCCAGGACTCTTGTAGACCAGAGGAAGCTCTGTGTTTCAAGGTCTTCATCACCGTTGAGTTTATCTAGCATATAACAAAATGTAGGATGAGCCCTAAGACTGCTGTCTGGCAGTAGGTCATATTTTCATTATGAGGTAATGAGTGTGATATGTGTTTCTGTGATTCCTTCTAAACACTCAACAGAAGAAGTTCACAGCTCGGTAGGCAAGGGTCATGACCACTCCAGAAGTAGATGACCTGTGGCCAAACAAAACTGCCTGTTTCTACCGCCAGAAAGCAGTGAACATTCCAGGGTCCCTGACTTTTGGTTAATAGCACTCCATGTGAAGTACTGAGATTAGGCTACCACTAAAGCTACTCAAGGGAAAGACTATCATGAGGAGCACAGGCATCTTATCAGGAATCCTCTCAACAGCAGCTGCTCTCACCCAGGAAGCTGTTGTTGTTGCCTCCTCTTGCAGGACCCTGCTGGGGAGCACACATTTGACTGCCATTGCTCTCTAACACCGGCTGTATTGTTACATAAGGATGACCCTGTTAAGGCACCAAAATCCTGAGCATCTGCCCACAGTCAACAGGCCCAGGGACAGTTTTGACATTGGTGTCCCTTTCTTGGAAATTTGGGAACAAAATCATAATTAGGAACAGATCTGTTCTCCTCTCTCCCCAGGCCACACAAAAGTCCTCTGGGTGCTAAGGAAGGAGGAGGAAGGAGGTGCAGGGAGGAGTGGAGATAAGAAATGGGTAGAGAGGACTTTCTGAGTCCCTGTAAACCTAGTCACAGCTTCTAACTACTCAAGAGACTCAGCTACTGCCTGCTATTAGGTGGCATTCCTGTCTTCTCAAAGTCAGTCAGTCCCCTTTTCAGTTCAACTCCTTGAACGCTATAACTGAAATCCTTAATAGCTGCAAAGTGTGAGAACTGTCCTGATTCAAACTATCTGTGAAAATATTAAATATATTTCTACAATTTAAAAAATTGAGCTACAAACTAGACCTTGTACTATCCTGCTGGCAGGTTTCTTGCCTTTGCTTGCACAGCCCTCAGGGAGCCTCGCTCAGCTTAGCCAAGAAAAAAAGAAGTCTTCTGGGACTGAGCCATTTCTGCAACCCTCTCTTATCAAGTCCTGGGGGACTTCCCGGAAAGTCTGAGCCATTTCTGCAACCCTCTCTTATCAAGTCCTGGGGGACTTCCCGGGGCAAGGCTGCTTGCCATGTCTCTCTCTGGTCTGTCACTGCTGCCTGCCATCCCACTCTCCTTTGGCACATGTCCCCAGGCACCTAAGCTTGAGGTAGGGTGGCAGATGCCCCACTTATCCTTGCTACAGCTGAAGATAGACTTTGGAGCCCTTTTCCCTGCCAAGGATAGGGGTACATCTTAAATGACCTTTTGACCAAGAAAGTTGCCTGGCTCCTTTATGGAGCCTCCAAGAACCAATATGCATGAATTGTTTAGAAACAGAGAAAAGGACTTACCAGAAAAGAATTAGTGGTATAGACATGTGGAGGAGGGGCAGGGATAGCAGCGAGGAGAGCTGGAAAAGATTGGGGGCAGGGCACTGGCATCCTAATTCACATCCTCAGAAACAAAGCTCTGAATCCCACAGAGCTACATTCATCTTTATTTTGGCCATGAGCCGTGCGTGGCTATTTGATTTTGTAGTTGAATGAAGAATAAAGCTGGTAGTTCAGTCTACAGACGATAAATGGGCTGAGAAAGAAATCAGAGAAACATCGCCCTTTACAATTG